TTTTATTTGTATATCACATTTCAGCAGAAAGTGCCTTACATAATTCAAATAAAAACAGTATGCGACACTGAATAAACAGTGAGAAAGAGAAAGAGATTTTGAAAAAGATTCAAAAAGATAAAAACATTACAACCTGCACCCCCTTTTAGGACTTCAGTTAAACGTCGCTTAACTGAAGTCCAGTTTTTTTTTTTTTTTTTTCAGTAAAAATCTGTCACTCTGCTTCGACCCAAACCATTCCGATAGCAAGTCTTCCTTCAACAGAAAAAGCTGATTTATTGTTTTCAGGGTCAGCAGCACTTAACTCTTTCCTTGTTATCACTGCCCATTTGTAGAAACATCATGTTCCCGTTTCCAACATGTCTCTTCCCTGTGTGTAATTCTTTGGTCAGACTTCAGGAAAGATTAAATCAGGTTTGACAACAGGCATTATAACTGCAGAAGAAATGGACGGGACATAGCTACACTTCCTCCAGTCTCTTAAAACAACATGTGAAGCCAATTATACCACAGGCGTCCAGTTTTTAGGAGAACATGGACTGTGTGCATCCGTCTGATCCAAAGGTGTAACACTGCTATCTCAACCCCCAGACAGGAAGAGGGAGCTTTTGACCTACCCTTTTCCTTGTACCCTGTAATCACGTTGCAGCAGGAAACGACAGTAGGCTTTATTTTCATCCACTCATCAGCACTTGCTTTCAAGCACCTCTGCCTTCCTACTTCAAGGCTACATACTAATTGGTACTTGCTATGGTACAGGGAACGAAAAAATAAATAAATAAACCTCACTGTACTTGGATTTCTCACCAAGCAGAAGGGAATATTTTTTGAGTTGAATCTTTTTTTTTTCTTCTTTTGCATCAATGGTGGTGATGGTTTAACATCACTTATTTTTTTTTGTACAAGTTCTGGAAACATATGAAGTTTCAATTCTACATGTCAAAATTAGCAAAACATGAAAAAAATCTGTCATAAACCTTAAGGCCACCATTTTATTCAATGAAGGGAATAAGTAAGCAATGCAAATACATCTGGAAAAGAAAGTCTGAAATAAAACCAGTTGGATTTTATAGGCACTGCTTTATTTTGTCACAGTGTATTGAGTTAGTAGTCACAATACAACATGAGCAACATTTACAGAGAATGATATTGCACACAGATATATGACCGACGCTTTAATATGGCTTGAGTTTTATGAGATTTTTAGCTCTTTGCCGATCATTAGTGCGATGAATGATCAGGTTTCTGAAGATGCTGGGCTGAAAATTACAGCATTTGATTTTTTTTACGATACTTGGAGGAATATGAAACAAATGCCATGATATGCTGGCGTTTCAGAGTAAGTTTTACATACATTTAAAAACTTTCAGCTGGCAGTCATCATTTATACAGTTTTTAAAGCCTGACATGGAGATGTGGAGATGAAAGCTTGTTTTTTTTAAGCCGAGGCAAAGCGGAAGTAGAGTTGCAAAAAAAGTGTAAATTTCACGGTACAACAACAAATTTGATTATATTGTGATTTCAAACAAGTTGGGCAAATTGATGAAATATGTTTTCATTTAGTAGTCTAATTGAGATTATGCATTTAAATCATTACCAGATTACCATTGCAGCTTGGCTTTATGTCACAATATACAAATAAAGACAAAAACAAAACGCTACCATGGTTGGAGAAGAGTTTCTGCAATGTAACCAGAAATATTTTAGGGCATCATCAAGATAAGCAAATCTGCTCCAAACCATAGGTTCAAGATTTGATTTGTTTTATTATTTATCAATTTAAAGATTGTAAGATTTACACAACAGCAGAATCAAGGACTGATCCCGAAAATGCCCATAAAGTCGCATTTGATCAGTTTTTAATTACGCTCCACCCTGACATCCATACAAGACTTAAACTTTTTACCATCTGCAGATAAATACAGAATTTAATGTGTTGCCTGTGTTTATATAAGGTATATAGTGTCTACTGTCAACATCAGCATTAGCACCATCTGGACCAATTACTATCCAGTTGCATTAGCCATGTTTGGAAATATTGTTTCTGTTTGTTGCATTTGTGAAATCTGATGTGATTTCTTATTATGTGTGTATTATTGTCTTAATTGAGAACACACAGCCTGTTTCACACTATATCTGGCGGACAAAGCTTTTGTTGATTGTTTTTTATTTTGTTGCGTTACCCAATAAGACAAAATAGCGAAACTTATTCTATTTCCAGAAAACAAAATGTATGTTGTGTTCCCAATAAAATGCAGCTTGCATTTATTTAAGTTGACATGACCTTGTTAGTTTTCTCTTTATCTCGTGGGAACATGTTCCTGTGACCTCTAGAAAACATCTCATTTCATCTTGTTGAGAGAAACAAAGCGTTCTTTATCAGCTAGTGAGGGACATTTTGTCTTATTTGGAGGAAACCAAGCTTGCTTCATCTCATCTCCATGAAACATCTCGTATCTTCCAGTTATCTCCACTAAATACCACGTCTAATTTTGTTGTCTTGCCGAAATAAATGTTTTATTATTTCTCATGTCAAAATAACCTGTTTAGTTTTCTCTTTATCTCAAAGAAACGGATTGTTTTTGTGTCAGCAATGCTTTATCTCATTTAGAAGGAAAAAAATGCTAAAAAAAAAAAAACACTTCTGATTTAGTTCTATACTATAATACAGAAATTAATTGCTCAGCTGAAGAGTATTATCCTTCCATCAGCGGATGATGTGTCCCTGCAGGCCACAGCAGTTAACAACATTTCCAGGGTAATCATTTGGCAGCATAATTGTCCTGGTTTCTGATATACAAACAATTATTTTATTTTGATTTCAAAATAATTTACTCCTCTCATAAGAAAATAAGCTTTTTAAGCTTGTAATAACTTGATAGCATGACTGTATGTTAGCTAATATTAAATTATAAATTCCTTTGAGAACAAAAGCAAAGATTATTTAATACAAGAGTTAGCTTTTAGCTAAACAAATGTAGTTTTCGCAGGATACTGCAGAAAATCACTCGGTTCTACACTTCATGCTTGTTTCTTGCTTAATTTTGTAAAATCACATTTTGCTACACTTAGCTGTATGAAAAAGTGTTCTATAGATAAATAAGAATAACACAACAAGCTTTAGCTCAAACTAAGAAAATGTCCTTGTGTGCAGTGGTAATATAGTAAACCCTGCTGCTGCAGAGGACTGTTTGTTCAGTCTGTGGGAGAAAATCAAAAAGTATAAATCAAGCTCTGTGCTGCATGGAAAAACTATATGATTTTAAGCCTCATTTCTAAGGCAAGCCATTTAATCAGTTTAGTGTTAAAGCTTATACCAAATAAAGTGCAATGGAATCCAAAGGGATGCGGCGAGTGAAATGAGGAAACCTGCCTTTAAAGTTTAAACTGTACTTTTAAATAACTTTAGTTTAGATGCTCTTTTCCTGATTTGTCCACAGTCAGCTCATGTATCACGTTAACTATCAGTCGGTATGCAAATAAGATATCTGATTAATGAGTTGTGCAATATTCATTTTGACTAAATGAACTTGCAGTTGTCCTAAAAACATGAATGCTTGCATAGATGCCAGTATGTTCCTGATTTGATATCTCTGTTTCACTCAAGAACGTTTTGTCTAGGCAACATGAATACTATCTAATGTTTAAAACCTTTCATATTCTGATTTGATTTAATCAGAATGAATCATTTCTTTTAAAGATGGACAAATCTGACTTTTTCTTTGCTTTGTTTATAAAAAAAAATCACTTCAGTCCTGTTATCAAATATTTTTGTAGTTTAGAAAAAGAACAATAGTCATTGATGGTTTTCTGTTTTTTTGTAAAATACGTGAAAGAGTTCAGAAGCTTGGAAACCAAACAAATCACCACCCAAACCATGTAAGGTGATCAGTCCAGCAGTGATTGTACAAGTCTTACATTTTTCCAAATAATCAGTTTTGTTACTCACACATTGTACTGCACTAGCTGTCAATGGCTCCAAAAGTCACTTAAAGTCAATAGAAGGGAAGTGGAAATATTCAAAAGTGGGCTGCAGCCAAATTTTCTCTCCGTCATTTTGGTTCAGGTATGGCTACAGCAAGTTATCACTAGCAAACATTGAGGAGGAACGTTTGGAGAGGTGACTGATTGGTATTTTCAGTGAGCTGTGGACATCAGAAGGCAATTTAATGGAGCAAAGGACAAACAATATCATCACATAACCGGTAATTATCTTTGTGGTTTGGCTTTTGACTCCTTGCAGAAACTATCTCTCTCTCTCTATGTGTTGTGTCGTCTTCACTCAACCTTTGCTTGTTTCTTTCCCTGAATCTAAGATTCTGCTCGTCATATATGGAGGAAAATGTATCTGAGATGCAGATGATTTTTGGTGGCTGGGGAGAAATCTGGCCTCTTCATCTATTTACTTCCACACAGCTCACCAAAATTCCCTGTGTAATAAACAGCCACACATACAATGTGTTATGGTTAACAAAGTATATTTCTTTATCAAAGAAAACAATGGATATAGTGGTTAAACTCATAGTTACAAGTTCTATAGATAGATGATGGACAGATGTCATCATCCACAAATAGTGCTTTCCTGTTTTTAAAGGACATGACTCAAAATTATTTTTGTCACAAAACTACACTATAAAATTGTCTATCTGGTCAGAAAAAAAGTGGAAGTGCAGATTTATTTGCATTTTATGTCATTTAAAAAAATAATTTTTAGGTTATGTTGCTTTTAATATGATATTTGGCTATTAAATGCCAATTCACAAAGTTTAGAAGCATTTTAGAGCTGTGTGTTTAAAATGTTTTCTAAATATTTAAAAGAAATTATCATTAGCTTTAAGCAAATACTGAATTCTCACTTTTTGACAATAAAACCATTCATATTAACAACACTTGAAGTTCCATTACTATAGACAAATATGATTAGAGCTTCTGTGCAACACAAAATCCCTCATGAATTCTGCAAAAATGCTGGTTGGGTTTTGGTTTATAAACCAAAAATGTGACAACTGCTTACTGTTGTCACCTTAGGATGAGTTTGTGGGGAAAATGAGACAAAATGTCACCTGAAGCTTTTCATGGCTTGATATCCTCAATGTCTGCAATGACTGAACTCCTTTTAAGTGATGGGAGGGTTTTTTAAAATCACAAAGTGGGAAAAACTGCAAATTAGTGTTTTACATTCTAAGATGTATGAATGCTTGAATAGCACTGAATGCATATGAGACAAAGCATAAAATGGCCTTCTTCTTGTGATCCCAACATTTCCTCTCTCAAGGTACGTTTTATGTGATAGAGGAGTGAACATCTAATTAATTTCAGACAGATGAAGATCTGAACTTAATCTTTTTGTTCTGCTGCCAGACTCTCTTCAAACTAAAAACAAAAGATGAATAAATGAAAGCTGTGTAGTCTAGAACACCAAACTACAAGTTCATTGAAGGAAATGCTTACATCTTTGAACAAATTGCACCCTTTTTTAAAAATGCATGCATTTGACGGAGAAAATGATCCAAACAGGTATATGTTCTCGTAGACAATCTGCTACTAAAAGCTGCCTGTAAAACTCTATTGCTGTGCTGAAGTATAGGACAACGTTGCTGAGAAGTGCTTTAAATGCCACAGACCTGTATAAAATGATATGCAGCTTTTGTCATGAACATCTTCGGTAAGAAAACAATCAATTTACAACTGGAAAGGTTAAATTACCAGCTGATGTGTTTGCTTGAACAGGAATGAACTCAAAGCTGTTTTTTGCAACATATAATACATGAAAGTATAAAATCTGTCTGCCATAAAAATAACCATCATCACTCCTGACAGCCTGCAGGAAAAACGCAGAGAACAATTAAGTTGTATTTGTAAAGGTACGATCCCTGACTATTCTGAACAAAATTAATTGGCCATTGTTCAGATGAGTTACTGGCTTTTCGGAGAAAAATTAAGGAACCTATCTTCAAATTATAGGGACAATGTCCCCTCAATTGCAGATGCAAAGTGCAAAGCATGATATCAATGCACAGTAGCAAAGAGAAAATAAACATTTGGGCTGTTGTATTAAAGACTGATGGCAATAGTTCCTCTGTGGAGACTGGAGTTTTACATGTGCAAACACTTTATATCGCGGTTAATTTCACAAAAAAGATCAGCCTAACATTGATGATTTTTCCTGCTTATTGTGCAGGATCAAGATGTTGGAGCTGTTATCACTAATATGCCATGCCTCTCTGCAGCCAGGCCCTTTATATTATCAAAGCAAAAGTTTGCAAAGTTATTTCTAACTAGTCTAAAAGCAGCTGATGCACCTGCAAATGTTAAACTCCAGCTGATTTCAGTTACAAATAAACATTTTTTCTTTTATAAATAAAGATAAGCAATCCAGTAAACTAGATTAAAAAGGCCAAAAGCAGTCGGAAAAAATATCCGCGAGTAAGAATCAATCTTGGAAACCCGAACGTGCATCCTGTTTTCTCTCCAGGCTCCCGATCGGCAGTCGTCGAAGCAGCAGAAGAAGCTGGCACAGTCTTTTCCATCCAAGCAGTCGTAGGCGTAGTCGTCGTCCTCGTGATATGGAACGATGTTGTTCATCTGCAACAGGGATGTTCCAGGTCGGATATTTACCATGCTGGGAACTCTCTGCTGCAAAGAAGCCACGGTTGCTTTCACTGCTCAGTTTAGGAGAATAAAACCAGAGCGAGTCAGATAAAAGTTATTTTTGTACCTGTGCGCTGTTGTTGGCTTTGGACTTCTTGGTCTGCCGGTTGCTGGTGAAGTAGTGCAAGGTCCCATACTCCATGAGAGCAGCGAAGGTGAAGATGAAGCAGACGGAGACGAAGAGATCCATGGCAGTGATGTAGGAAACCTTCGGCAGAGACTTCCTGGAGATGGTGCTCAGAGTTGTCATAGTGAGAACTGTGGTGATTCCTACAAAGGGATAAATACAGGAATTAAAAACCAGACACATTATTGTTTTTTTGTTTGTTAATATAAAATATAAAAACTGGAAATTTGCTGAATAACTGGGTAAATTAAAGAACAAAATCTATATTTTATGTACCAGAGTTTGAGTGGTACAAACCTGTTTTCTCTTCAGAAAACAGGTTCTGTTTTCTGAAGAGAAAACAGG